TACTCCTAGCAATCTTTGTGACTGAATTTCCGAAATTCACGTCACAATGGTTATGCTCTTCATACAGTATATGGTTGGTCATTGTATCTAATCGGTGCCATTTGGAACTCCGTCACTCAACTATTATTACATCTCGCCAACAAAGTGAAGAATCCACCTAATACTCAAGGGAAATCCGATGTGGAACAGGGACTTCCAAAAGAAGGGTCCCAACCAAAAGGAGAAGATGACCAAGAGTTATCAATCGTCCGTAACCAACGGAAGTCCCAATCTTCACAGGAGGAATCAACATCATCAGCATCTACCAAAATAGATACAACCTCCGTAGTTAGTAACCCTCATAGTTACACCTCCAACGAAATCTCGCTACACTTTCACAACTGATTGATCATATAAATCCAACGTAAATATACATATACAGGGTGTTCGTTATGAAACGCACTGTAGTAACACCGTTACATTCCTTTTCAAATTCTGATGAATATCTAACTAGTTCCAATTATCTACTACCCAGTGTGCATGCAAACTTCAGTGTATAAGGGTATATGTTCTAACTACTATTGGATTTGGAGATTTGGATATGGTGTTCATACGTGTACATGTATGTATCTATATATGTATATGTCTATACAGGGTGTTCGTTATGAAACGCACTATAGTAACATTGTTGCATTCCTTGTCAAATTTCAAAGAATACGTGTATTTTCATTTTTTATTTCATATATCAAAATTTCGAGATAATCAAGGTTGAAGTTGCAGTAATGCGACCAATCAGAACGCGTTTAAACAGAGTGTAGTTGACGTCGCGAGCCAGCCCGCAAGGCCTGCTTACAGGAGGCTAATAACACAGAATACGTGTATTTTCATTTTTTATTTCATATATCAAAATTTCGAGATAATCAAGGTTGAAGTTGCTGTAATGCGACCAATGAGAACGCGTTTAAACGGAGCGTAGATGACGTCGCGAGCCAGCCCGCAAGGCCTGCTTACAGTAGGCCAATAACACTAAGAGTATCGTCTCTTGTATCTTACTCAATTACATGCAGATAAACAGGGACAATACGACGATAGTCTTAGTGTTATTAGCCTCCTGTAAGCAGGCCTTGCGGGCTGGCTCGCGACGTCATCTACGCTCCGTTTAAACGCGTTCTCATTGGTCGCATTACAGCAACTTCAACCTTGATTATCTCGAAATTTTGATATATGAAATAAAAAATGAAAATACACGTATTCTTTGAAATTTGACAAGGAATGCAACAATGTTACTATAGTGCGTTTCATAACGAACACCCTGTATAGACATATACATATATAGATACATACATGTACACGTATGAACACCATATCCAAATCTCCAAATCCAATAGTAGTTAGAACATATACCCTTATACACTGAAGTTTGCATGCACACTGGGTAGTAGATAATTGGAACTAGTTAGCAACTCTGAACATATTTTAAACAAATCACACTGTTACAGAAATCATGGCACATCTACGACACCATGATTTCGCTCTCCATGCAAAGGTGATTAAGACCCCAGACCTGGGAGGACATTTTTTGGGGATAGTATCCTCAATTTCATCACCAACGTCCTTCTGGGTACAGCCACATGGGCTGAAAGAAAAGGGGCTACTCATGGACAACCTGCTCCGCACTTACTATGGGCAGGTCCAAGGTGCCCTACGGCCCATGAATTCGGAGGAATCCAGATGGAAGCTCCTGGGTCACACTATATTACCTGCGCATGGAGCCCACTATTCAACAACTAATAATTGAAGCTGACCTAGGCCAGATAGGTCAGAGGGGAACCACCATTGAGGAAGGTGAATTCCTCGATGATGAATGGAACTCCTTTGAGGAAGCCGACTCTGGTCTAGAGGACGATTGAACAATGTCAGCAGGAAAGTGTGTGTACAGTGTATATACTTTTAAATTTCTAGCACCGTTATTAATGCAGTTACCATTGTCATTGACATTATTATTCTGATATCTTTATTAGTGTTACAATTATTGTTGGTATATGCTCTATTATTATTATTATTATTATTATTATTATTATTATTATTATTATTGTTTTATTGCTATTTTGATGTCGTTGAGTTTTCTTATATTCTTTTACTCACTTACTTTGTTTAATATTAGATTTAATTATTACATTTTCGGTGTCTTTTTAGGTATAATTGATTTTATTATTTTTATGATTGTAATCCTGTTATTAATATTGTATATATGAAGGATTAGATGTCGGCCAATTAAGTGATTTATTTTAAAGGGAAATTCAAGCATAATTGTATTATAACTTCATTAAACTTCTGGAATGGTAACTTCTGGCTGCGACATCTAACCTTCGATCAGTTATTGGGAAATAACGCTTCCACTGATACGAATGTCCGGATTGTACCCCCGACATTCGTCTTAGGGGGGAGGTGTTACGTCCGCGTGGAAAATCAGATCCTACGTACATGGTCTATGACTAAGCATCGGAAGACTAAACAGTGGGGTCTGGTTTTTATCACATAGCGACCGTAGGAAATGGTTATCTAGCATATGGGTTCTAGGTCTATGGACAATGAAGTGAACCTAAAGGACAATGTTTATAGAATATATTTAGGCTAGGGTCTTGACTGTTATTGGACGTTATTTATACGATACATGTGCGGACATTCCTGACTCTATTACTTTATGACCTTTCCTAGAAAACCCCATTAAGAACTCCTCATTCATTTACAAAGAAGTCATCCTCATCCAATCCTGATCCAGCAATTTTTTCACCCTTATGCAGAGTTCCCCCGCCAAAATTCCCAGCACCAATGAATTAATTTCTTTAACCACTCCATGCTCTTTTCCTTAAAAATTTCTCTAACCGAACCAATAGCAATAATCCCTAACCCTACTCCAGCAATCCACCCCCGCTAGCTAACATCCCTAAATTTCTCCAAGACTCACTCTCATTCTCCGCTGGTTCATCAAACAGTTCAGTCAAACCATTTTACATTCCTCCGCTTACTAATTACAATTTATCAGTTTTACTCCAATTTATTCTAATACGCTAAGTTACTTAGTACTAGTTGAAATTGCTTTCGCTTATTCATAAAATAGTATTTTCGTAGAGCTTGTTTGTCAGTGCGTCATTTTCATAATAAATCCTACTCATTTGTTCACTTAATTTTGCTCTTATATATTGTAACACCTGTTCCCGGATTCCCTAAGAGTGAACCACGATACTAGACTCGGAAACAGAGAGTACCTTCGCTCGATCGGCCCAGCATCTTTGAACTCGTAGACAACACGAAACTTGAGGGATCTGCCGATGGGCGCCAGACATCCAGTGATGCCACGAGGGAATGATAATGTAAAGCACCAAGGTAGCGATAAGAAACCCAAAATCTAACTATAATAGGACCGATGCGTGGCGGAAGTCTGACAATCTCAGCCCCGATAAATATAGGAGCGGGGCGGGGTAATTAGGAAGTAAGAGCCGTAAGCCAGGATTATGTAACCAAAACTTAACAATTTATTGCACCTGGCAATCCAACATATGACAACAATCGAAACCCGACAGAGGTACGAACGGGCTACCAGAGGTAGTCGCGGTAAGGTTCGGTGATTACAGAGTTCGGATAATAGATAGCGAGGAGCGTAGATGTAACGCACACACCAATTACGGCCGATCTGCCGGATACAGTCTTACTATTTTCCAATGCCCCTTCGCATTCCAGGTAACACAAATAATACAGGCAATATAGGTGGTACAATCAAAGCAATGGATAAAAAGACGAAGCCAATTGATCGTCAAAAGATAAAATTCGTAAACGTAAGACAATAGAAAAGAACAAATAAAATCCTAATATTACATACGATTCGCGACCGCGTGGTCGACACTCGAATTGCCCCTTATAGACAAGGAAGCTAAGAATACTCTAGGTAGCGTATAGAGCCTTGCCTACTGACTCCTATTCTCGCGAATTTCGGGAGTCCCCAGGACTCAGGTAGCCGCGGCGGGATTTACGCTGTCCCAGGTAGCCGTTCTTATTATTATCCGTATGAGAAAATCTTACACGCGCGTTCCGATCAACTCAAGAAAAATGTACGATACACTGACGGGATTATCCGGACCAGTGTACTCACGCCGATTAAGCGAAACGTAAGTTCAAATAAAATAAAATAAAGTAAAATACGATAAGGTGACCGGACGAAACAAAACAGGCTCTTCGTCGTGGCCGTAATCAGGGAAACCACCACTCGTAGCCATTAACACTTCACTTGCACACTAACATATTCGAATTATTAATCCGGCGACGAAGCTCTTCGCTGAACGCTTGCTTGGGCCCTTAGGCTCGTGTTACCAAATCTCTCATTACTAGGTAGCGTGTAATACTATTACTCACGGCGGTAGCGTGAAGAGTTTCGTACCCGGTTACAAGAAAGAGTACCTACCAGATAGTAGCAATAAGAATGTTCCATACAAAGGAAGCTTTCGATGGATTCTCAGGAGCGGTGAAAGAAACGTCCACTTGCTTGGGAGGTCCACGGCGAAAGAGGACGATTACAATTCTTTTCGCGACACCCGGGGTATTATCCTTCCACCCGACCCCTCATTTTTGCCGTTTACAATTACAATTACATTACAATTGGTTAATTGTTCCTCGCGGTTACTTCCGCCAATCCTATGGACGTATTGATAATAGATCGCCAGGACCTAGTATCATTAACCCTATCAGGTAGCTTCAAACGCTGCGGCGGTTGCGTGCGCATCCCTCGCAGAGCCCTCTGGGTAAACCTAATACGTTAGTGCTCCGAAGGATGGCGGCACTGGCGTTTCCTGCGTTGTCATGCCGCGGTCCGCACGTTGTTGCTGTGACGTTGGAGCGTGTGTTCGTCGTGCCGTGCTTTTGGAGTTCTGCGAAGATGTTCCGAAAGGATGCTGCCTCCCTTCGAACCTCCACTTGTGACCGGCGGTTGCCGATGCGGGCCCTTTGGTTGGTGATTGTCCACAGGTAGCGTATGGATCCGGACTGCAGGTAAGTGGTCTTTTACTCTGCTCCGTATTTTACGTTTTAGGTGATCCTCCGAGTGACAGCTTCCCGTGACTTGCAGGTTGCTGACCGGTTTCTCGCTCCACGCCTTCTGGGGAAGTCCTTATCGTGTCCGCAGGGCACCGGGATCCCCTAGGACGCGAGACAAGGTTACCCTTCACTCGGGCATTTCGATCGTTCCTCCTGAGAGCAGTGGATCCATGTGTGGTTACGCCAGGCTCGTATCCCGATGGCAGGTAGCAGGGCACCTCGACGGAGATAGCAGGATTTTCGTGGCATGTGGACAGGTACGACGTTCGCCCTTTGCAGGAATTCTGATGCTGGTGGCGGCTGCGATTTTGGTGGTCGGCGTCTAGCTGTTTGAATTCGGCGGCGTTCGTGGTGGTGATTGGGGTCGAGCGGTCGGTATAACAGTCCCGCCGAGGTCGGTAATATCGTCCCTCACAGATATCCAGCTCCATCCTTCCCCGTGTTGGTGAGTGTAGGCTCGTTCATAGGTGTAGAATAAAATTAGATACAATTAATTTACAGATCTTATATGTTCCAGGTGGCTCCCCGACCCCCGCTAGTGGACGTTTATACTACAGCGGGCTGTAAATCCAGCCCGTACTCCAATTTCCCACGACTCTACTTTGTGGCGTGCATTTCTGAAAATGCAACGTCACAATATACATTCTGCTTAAAACCAACCTCTTCTACACTGCAGACATCTTCAACAATCATAAGCAGCAGAATCAAGGTAAGCACAATCAAAATATTATTGGTGAAGGTACTCTTTAATTTTGCTGAATCATCATAAATGTTAGATTTTCTAAGTTCAATTGTTTAGTTGGTGACGGTTTTCATTTGTTTAGAACTTTCAAATCAATCCTAGTAAATATCCAGTTTAACTTCATACCTAATCTCAAACACTGTTTCAAATTCTTATAATGAATGATGTATCTAACTTTCGGGAGGAAATAGTCTGTGGGCGGTTTGAAGTTCAATCGAATACTCCAAATCAATTTCGAATATGTAACCCGTAAGAGAGTCATCGGGAATATTGCGAATATCGAATTGCTCAAAATTTGTTTCCCATTTGAATGAGCCTACTGGTAAAGATTAACTCATAGCTGCACCGGATAAATTATTTACGTCATAGTACATAAGATACGACTCTTCTTTGCTTGAATCGAAATCTGCTCCCATGCACCTATTGTTAGCCCTGGCGTATCTGTTGGAGCATTGAGCTACGCGACCTCGGATACCTCTCTCAATAAACAACAATATCTCTACATCAGTCAGCAGCTCAAGTTCAAAACCCATACACTTGAGCATAGCGTCGAAAGCAAGGCCTGGTGCAGTGTAATAGTGTAGAGGATCTAAATTGTATATGTCGTAACAGTTGCGTATACAATTTTCAAAGATATCAGCTGGAAGGAGAACATCGGTTTTCAGATACAAATCAGAATATTTACTTAATGTTTTAATACAAAAAGTCTGCCAAATATTGCAAGCGTGATCATAATCTGCTTCTTCGTTATTTAATTTCGAATCGAATTCTTCTTTTACGGGTGATCGATCCTCTTTCAGTTTTTCCCAATTATCAATATATTCGTAGGGAAAAACACCTTTTCTAGTCAATAAATAAAATTCCTCCCCAACCCACTCTGATATTACAAGATAGTATTAGGTGATATTATAAAAATGAATGAAGTGCGAAGTGGAGACGTACGTGCCAAAGCAAATAGATTAGTCAGTAATATAATTTAAGCCTTAGATCAGGTCGCACCTCGGAAGAAATTTAAAATACCTAGTAAATGGGCAGGTAAGAAATGGTATTCTGAAGAAGTAAGAAAAGTAGTAGCGGCAAGAGATAAGGAATATATCAAAGCGCGATATGATCAGGTTGCACCTCGGAAGAAATTTAAAATACCTAGTAAATGGGCAGGTAAGAAATGGTATTCTGAAGAAGTAAGAAAAGTAGTAGCGGCAAGAGATAAGGAATATATCAAAGCGCGATATGAAAAAAACGGAGGAAAAATGGTCAGAATATAGAGTAGAGAGAAATAATTTAGTAAAGCTAATAAGGAAAACAAAAAAGGATTATTACGAGAAGGTGATAGATGAGAATAAACAGAACCCTATAAAAATGTGGAAATCTCTTAAAGAAATCCTGAGGGGGGTGAATGTAAATAAAAACGAAGTAGTGGACTTGGACCTAAAGCTTGATGCAACTAAACTCGAGTCAAATATAAGTGTTGCTGATAAATTTAATATCTTCTTTGTAAATAGCATAGACAAAATAGTTAAATCTATAGAAACGGAAGTAGACACAGACAGTAATATACTGTATGAAAATGAACAATGGCTCGATGAGTTCAAACCCATCGATATAGTGGAACTACAGAAGATAATAAGTAAATTACCGGAAAAAAAAGGAACGGAAGAAGGAATATCCAGTAGTATATTAAAAACAGCTAGAGAAGTTATTCAAGATGATTTTATCGACATTATTAACACCTCATTTAAGGAAGGACAATGTCCACGTCACTGGAAAACGTCTACCATAATACCGATACCAAAAGTACAGAAACCAAAAAGCGGTAGTGACTTCAGACCAATCAACATGTTACCGATATACGAAAAAGTACTGAACATCTAAAAAGTAAGAACATCTAGAAGCAAATAACATAATCACGAAACATCAGTCGGGATTTCGGAAGAAGCACTCGTGTGAAACGGCAATTCAAACCATGGTTGATGAATGGAAATCACATATCAGTGAAGGGAAAATAGTGGGAGTAATCTTCATGGGTTTGAAACGAGCGTTTGAAACTGTGGACAGAGAGCTGTTATTGGAAAAACTAGTGCAAAATGGAATAAGGGGAAAAGTATGGGAATGGTTTAGATCGTACTTAAGCAATAGTACTCAGCAAGTTAGGTTTAATGGGGAATTTTCGAATATTATAGAAACAAAATACGGAGTACCACAGGGATCGGTGTTAGGGCCACTGCTGTTCGTTATATATATATAAATGATATAGTCGACCTGTGCCCAGAAAAAGGTACAATAAAAATGTTTGCAGATGATACTGTAATATATGTGACAGGAGAAAGCAGCGCAGAACTGGA